ATATGAAAGAACTAATCTGCATATCTGATCAACATGAGCCAAACTTCTTTCAATGAGGAGATAAGATTTCATTCAAAAGTGAAAAAAGTTAGTCTCTGCATTTTTTGCACCTGTTGCAAACAACTGTGTAATTTCTTATTAGATATTTTAAAATAACTGAAAATAGTACAAAGACTAACACTATTTTTATGAGCCACACATATCCAATAGAGATAGTGTGCTCAAAGCATTTTACTGCCTCCTCATAGCATACCTCCAGCACAGGAAGTCACAGAGTAAAAAAAAAATCTATCCCCAAGGATGCTGAAATTACCAAAAAAAAACCATGTTAGGTCATGTTGTGTGTGTGTGTATGTGTGTGTGTGTGTGTGCCTGCATGTGTATTTTTATGTGTGTATGTATATATGATGTATCAATGTATTTTTACATATACTTATATGTTCATATTTGACACAATAAAACCATCAAGAAGTTTGAAAATGTAAATTGTTAAAAGGCTTTCTCTCTCGTAGTCAGCATGATGACTTTTCCAAGAATTTAGAATACAAATATTCTTCAAAGATTTCTCACTACAAAATAACAAAAACAAATTAAGCATCTTCTAGCTGTGCAACCTTGGGCAAGTTACTTAACTTCATCTTTTCTTTTTTCATTTGAAACAGGGATAACAATAGTACCTCATTCATGTGGAATTTTTGAAAAGATTTTAAAAGCTACTATATTTAAAGCGCTAAGGACAGTGTCTGACACACGAGGGCATTTTACAAATCTTAGCTATTATGGTTGTTATTCTTGCTACTATTTTATCGGGTGTCATTGATGTGTCAAAATCACCAGATCTTAAATATAAGAGTGTATCTCCTTTAAAATGATCCAAACACATACTACAATTTGGGTAAATAAACCTACCACTCTGTATTTCTAACTCCAACCTCCTATTTTAGAATGTTTTAAGCAGAGAAAACCAAAAATAACATAGTATAAGCATTCATTTTCCAGTTGCAAAGAATGATGTTAGCAGCTTAAGATCACATAGAGCCAATACAGGAGTTTAGGAGAGGTTAAAAATGTCCAGTGAACAGAAAGAATATTTCATCCGCAGTTATGTTTTCAAATACACCTGCTACTGGTGCATTTACTTCCTAGGGCCTGAAAGCAACAGGCTAATCAATGGCTTTTGCAGAACTTCTTACTTGGCGGAATATACATGCTCCACTTGAATCATAACGCCTTTGGGGAATCAGAGGGCCAATGAAATAACTTTAGTCAGGAAGACTATAAAATTTTTATACTAACAAATTACAAAAGAGGGTTCAATTATGAACTCAACTGTTAAACTCATCATTCTGCCTGGATACGTGCATTGAGTGGACAGAATAACCGAACACTACTATAGGGTAAACTGAAGCTGGGATATCAGCAGCTCCTTGGGACCCAAGTGATTCCTAGGGGCATTACTCTTTCAAATACCCCATTTCTTCCACTCTCTTGGGGCAGTTCTTGAGCCAAAGGCGCTTTGGAGAATGTAATCCACTTCCCCTTTGCAGTTGCCACTTCCACCAGCTGCTTCTCTCATTACCTTACTGTTCAGGCAGCAAAGGCCGGCCCCATTTCTTCTAATGATAGCAAACACCTCATTAAAAAATCTGCCAAATTTACTTTTCCATGGAACATCACTTTTGCAGCTTTTCATGAGGCCACGAGGAAAGAAAGCATCATGTATAAAATATGATTTCCAGAAATCTTGAAGATATTAAGAATTATTCCTACATGACTGGTGGGTGTACCACAGTCCGTAGAATGGCAGTATCTTCCATTTCCCCAAAGGAATCCCAGCAGTCTGTCCCCGTACCTGTCTGCCCACAGGAAAAGGCGAGAGGACCCCACAGAGTTAGACATTTTCAGAAACGTCCCCAAATTAAGAGAACTTTAGGCTCTGGGGTGAAGACTTTCCTATTCCTGGTTTTGCATGTGTTCAAGGGTCACCTTGCTTTAGTCTATAACACCCAGGCAGAGAGAAAACGGTGTAATTCATCAAGAGTTTGGAATGTGTGAACTTTGGCAACTTTCTTAACCTCTCTGAACTTCATTTATTTGTGTGTGTGTGTGTGTTCTGTAAAGGGGAGATAGTAATAATATAGTACCTTATTAAGTCAGTTAGATTTTGTAAAGCACTTCAAACAGTTGCATAGTAGCCACTGTTTTAAATGTTGAAGTGAATTCTCTCTTTAACAGTAAACGTTTCCCCCAACAAATTACATAAAGAGGCAAACACTGAATAAGAGACAACGATTGTAAAGTCCTTTGGAAACAATACTTATCTGGGCATTGCAGAGCAAAGAGCTTCAGAAGGGCTAACTTGCGGAGGAGATTTTAGGCGCCAGAGAATTCCCTCTGCTTTCGGAGGGAATCCCTGCAGACTTTTACCCATGCCCCAAGCTGACAGTTGTCACATCACTAGACCCAAGGGAAAGCGCTTTCCAAGGTAGCGGCAGGCCATCCTTACCTGGGAAATCCTTTATTAGGAAACCGAAACTCACCTTTTATATGACGCCCACTCCCCCCCCCCCACACACACACACTCCCCTCCTCTTCGCGACCCCCAACCCCCGGGCTCCTAGCTAAAATCGATCGTCATTACAACCCCATTCTCAAGGGGCAGAGCGCTAGGAAGAAGTCTTGGCTGTAAGTTTAAAAGCCTGAGTAACTCCGTCCCAAAGCACGGCAGGTGCCTAGACTCCGCGCCCTCCCCTTGGCCAAGACCGCACTCGGGAGCCTTCGTGAAGCCCACGCGGGACATCGGAGGCACCCACCGGGACCGCGTGGGAGCTGAGAGGATGCCTGGCCACTCTCCTCGGGAAATCATTTCCTGACCTTCGGTATTGCTCTCGGAAGGGGCAGACTCACCAGGGCTCTCGCTCCCATACCCAGTTTGTGGATATTATCCTATACAGTCTCCTTCCGCAACCTCCGCCCCTCTCCCCCTCCCAGAGTAATACTACTCGGCCCCTAAAGGGCAACCGCAGCCTGGCAGCCCCCCAAAGCAAACACATGCATGTTCCACACTTCCTCTGCCCTGTGCACGCCTCGCACCCCTGATGTCTGACCTGCGGCAGACCTGGAGGCGCGCGTCCGCCAGATCTCAGCGCCAAGTCCGGCCTCCCGATCGTACTCCCGCGCCGCCTCAGCCTAAGACGGGTTGCCCCGGCAAAACTGCTGCCAAAACAGTTGCTCTCGGGTGGGGCGGGAACCCGCCTCCTCGCATCCCTCACGCGCGAGCCCGGCACCCAGCTCCGGGTCCCCTCTGCCGCGCGCGCCCCTCTCCGGCAGCGCACTCACCTGCAGCTGGGTCCCGCTGGCGTTGCCCGCGACGGCGTCCTGCCCGTCGGCGGCCCCCGTGCCGCGCAGCACCGTTATGTGCAGCGTGAGCAGCAGCAGTCCCAGCAGCAGCAGCAGCTCCGCCGCCAGGCGGACCATCCTCTTGAGACGCGCGGCTTTAGGACCCGGCGCGGCGGGCGGCGACGGCGGTGGCGCCGGGGGAGGAGGAGTCGGAGCTCCCGAGCCCGGCAGCGCGGCTCCAGCCTCGGCCCCCGCCGGGCCCCCGCTCCCCGGGCCCGCGGGGCCGGCGCTGGGCACGGCGGGGCGCGCCGGGCCGGGGGAGCAGGAGCCGCCGCCGCCGCCGCCGCCGCCACCGCACCACGGCGGAGCCACGGCGGGGCCGGGGGCGTCCAAGCCGGCTGCGGAGCAAACCCGGGCGCTTCCCTGCAGCGGCGGGGACAGGGGGCAGCCCGGGACCCAGGCCGGGCCGGGGACCACCCTGCGGACAGGGGGCAGCGGGGGCGGCGGCGGGGCGGGCGCAGCCGAGCCCCCGAGCGCACATGGGCGCCCCAGATGTGGCCGCGGCGCCGCTGCTGGAGCAGGAGCGGCCGCCAGAGGAGCGCGGGGAGGAGGAGGAGGAGGAGAAGGAGGAGGAGGAGGAGGAGAAGGAGGAGGAGGGCTTCAGTGGCGGCCCGCAGTTACCTCCACGCTTGGCTCCCCCGCCCTGAGCCACTCACCCGACGAGCCACCTCCCCTCCTTCCCGGGCTACTTTGGGGCGCGGAGTGCTAAGGTGAACTGGCTTCAGATGGGGGCCCTGGGGACACGGGGGTTGTCACTATTTGGAGGTGACCTGGGCGCCCTTCCGGGGTCCGCGTCCAACTGCCGGGATGTGCCAAGGGTGCGCCACCGCTGCCGAAGTCGCTGCGGCCCTCGAGGGCAGGGCCCTGAGCGCACTGCAGCTCGGGGCTGTGGGTGGGTGGGGGTGCCTGAGCGAGTTTAGAAACCTTTATTGACAAAGTGGAGTTGGAGTTGTGGTGATGGAGCACGGAGGGAGCGCAGGACCAGCCAGGTGTCTGTCTGCAACTGTGCGCCCCGCCTGAAGCTGGCGCGCCTAGGAGCGGGGATGAGAGTCGTTCCAGAAGGATCTTGACACTTGCTCCAGGTCGATGGGCCGCCCGCCTCCTGGGCACCGCTGCTCCTGCACCGGCGTCTCCCTGTAGAGCCTGGGAAGGGAGGCGACTGGGATTCGCTGGGCGTGGGGCAGGTCCAGCGCGCAGGTGTCGCGGCGGTGAGCTGCCGGGGCCGGGCTCGCGGCTCCCGCGCGCAGAACGCAGGTGGGCACTGGGGTAAATCTCAGCTCCGGCAGTCGCGGGTCCGGGGGCTCATCCCGGAGGCGCCGCGCCCGGAGGAGACCTGGGGGCTGCAGACGCACAGCCGCCGTTCCTGGGCCGCCGCCTCATGACCGCTCTGCAGCCTCGGGCTCCCGCGCGCCGCTCATGCCTTGCAGGGGTAGCTGGCGAGTGAAGGGGCTTGGGTCTGGCCGAGGGCGCGGGTTCCTCTCCTCCGATGCAGGAACAAACTGGGTCCGACGGTGGGCTCAGATCACTGCCGCGGCACCGCGCGTTTCCCTCCCTCCGGGTATGGCTGTGGCTCCTGCCTTCCAGAAGTGGCTCGGAGTGGCAGGCGCTCCGTCCGCCTGGTGCCTTTTATACTGCGCTCCCTCCGCCTCCCACCGGGTTTCCTCCTCCCCCTCGGCGCCGGAGCCCGCCCAGCCCTTTCCTCGCCGCTTGCGGAGCCCTCCGTCCTGGCGTTCGCACACAAGCCTTTCGCAAGTTTCCAAGCCCATCTCGCACCCAGTGCCCCTGGGATGGGTCCTCCCGATTCTCCCTTGGTGACTGATATTAAATAAATAAACAAACCTTTCTCGCCGGCTTGACTTTCTCCCCCTCCGCCCGGATTCTGCCCTCCTGCTCCCTGGGCTCCAAACTAAGGAAATATTCTTAATTCAACGACTTTGATTGATTTTATGAACATCTTTATGCGCAAGACACCTCAGCCAAGTCTTACCCAGATTAAGACAAGACACACCTTCATCATTACGGAAGCTCCACAGTCACGGTGGCATTTTGCAGAATTTAAATAGCAATGGTTAAGGTATGGAGTGCTGGTTGGGTTTATTTATGTCCATGGGAGGAAGGGCTAGTTGCCACTTTAAAGATGCCTTCATCATCTTTAAAATTCTAACCAGTTCTAGCATCTTATTAATAAGTTGGCAGCCGCTTATTAAGCACGAAATTTATTTTCCTTTTCAGTGTTTTTTATTTGTTTGTGTTTTTTTGGTTTGGTTTGGTTTGTTTGTTTTTGTAGGAGGGAGGAGGGATATTTGGAGGGAGTGCTTGTTTTGGATTTTTAGGTAGCCAGTCCTGCGAGGCAACTTATTGCACTCTCCAGGCTCTAAAATGCCAATAATTGTCAACTAGAGCGCTGGGGAATAATTTGAAACAATAGACTGTCCGTGGTTCAGATGGGAGATCAAAGAGAGGATCCCAGCCGCTTTCAGATCCCTCCAGGATCCTCCAGTGTGTTTTTTAATTAGAATCACTTAGAGGGGGCGGGGCATGGATGGAATATATAAATTAAGATGGCAAACTAGACAGAGTTTAGGGCTGGCTCTAACCCCTGAGTGCCAGATTGTGAAGTGGCGCAGAGGGACAAATGACTTTCCTATTGCCCCAGGCAGGCTGTTCTAAATTAGAATCCAGGCACTGCTGTGTCCTGCGTTTTCATCACACACAGTCCCCACATGTGAGCCTCAACTGCCTCTCCTCTCATCTCAAGTTAACATTTTTGGATCCTAAGGAAAAATAACTTAAAAAAAAAAAAAAAAACTCTGGAAAGAAATCCTCCCAGTGTAAATTCTTGTAAATTTGTTAAGGGAGAGTGGGAGATCAAAGTCTTTGTAAGATGTTGTAAAAATTGTAAATTGATTTTTGGGGACAGAAGTCTTTATAAAATGTTGAACAAATGCATGAGTGACTGCTCTTAAAACCCTTTCACGCTGTGAGACCCAAATTCCAGGTGAGTTTATGTTTTAGTAAGCACCCATAACCCGTATCTGTAAATGCCGGTGCTCTGTGACTGAGCTGTCAAACGAGGCTGCCAGCAGAGCTCTGCTTTTGAGGAGATGGGAAGCACGGGCTTACAATTTTTGTGGAAAAAGAATGACAAGTTTCAAAGCCTAAATAAATTAAGTTTCAAGTATATTTATGAAATGTTACCAATAGCTGAGGAAAGTCTTAAAGATCTTACCTCCTTCAGCATTCCAACAGCACCGTCCTTATGTCTTTATTGTTGATCTTACTTCCTAGTAAGAAGTCTGATTGTATGTCCATCTTCCCACTGGACCGGGGTCACCTTTCTGGTGGGACATTTCAGAGCATATCTCCCACCCACACCCCACCCTCCACCCCTCCAGTATCCAATTTTCTTCTTCCCAGGTTCACAGCTAAATAAACATTTTTTTTTTCAGCAATACGTGAGGTGAGATGGTCAAGAATTCTGGTCCTTCTTCTACATCTGGCCATGAAACATCCCTAGTGAGTATCTATATACAGCTTTCTCTTTCCTTTCTACATGGCGAAGGACTCTGAGGTAAAAGGAGCCCTATTCTCTGAGCTACGATTCAAAAGAGAATGACTGGGCCAGAATGCCTTCATTTACCCTTGCACAGTGAGAAATAAAACTTTGTTGTTCAAGGCACTGTGATTTTGGGATGTTTGCTTTAGCAGCTAGTATCACCAGTCCTGACAAGTAGCACATTCTTCACGCAGGGACACCTGCCTTATCATTAACATATTTCTAGACATGAGCACAAGGCCTTCCATCTAGTAATTGCTCAATCAGTGTTTGTTTAATGAATGTAATGACTATGGTCTTTATTTAGATCCTACTTGGTGAAGGAATTCTCTTGAGAGTGTTTCTACTATAAGTGGCTGACCTATGGATATTAACTCTTCTGTCACTTGACTATTCCCTCATAGATTTTGTCTTTTATTATTGATCATTGGCCCCTTTATCTTGCAGACAAGCTATTTGACTAGAATATTTGAAGAAAGTAAAAAAAAAAAATAATAACACACCACAACACCTGTAGTAAATATCATTGAAGAGAACCTTATAGCAAGGTTTTTATTGTTTTTACATTTTTTTTTACTAAAATCAGTTGCAGGGCAGCAAAAAGTAGTGTTAGTGCAATCTTTAAAACGCAACTTTTTATTCTATATATTATACTTTTAAATATATACAAAAGTAAAGAGAATAATGTAATGAATGATTACAGACCCATAACCCAGCTTCAACAAAACTCAAGGCCAATCTTGTCTCATCTATATTATCATACACTTCCTCCTTCTGAAATTATTTTGAAGCAATTCCATGACATCATATAATTTCACTTGTATCTCAAAGTGTAAGGGTGAACTTACCCAGTTCAATGAAAACAAATTTAAACACATAAAAATGTTTTTTAAGTTAAACACATGCCTACTGTATGTGAGCTGTAAAACAGATTTGAGACGTCAAAACTAGACACTTTTTTTCTGGGTGTAAACTTATTAGCAGTTAGGGATTATGGTGGAGGCTGTTATATGTTCACCAAAACTTGTTTTCTCTTCTTCCTGGACATATTGATAAACTATTTGCCAATACCCTGTCCATTTAGATACAGCCATGTGACTGGGTTCTGGCCACTAGAATGTGGGTGGAAGTGATGTGTGTCCTTTCCATATCTAGCCCATAAAAGTGTCCTGTGCATGACCTCTCTCTTTTCACCTTGTCTGCTGGCTGGATGCTTCTGCCCAGGGTGGCCTTAGATCAATGATCAGCCTGGCTCCCAGACGCAGAGCCCTTACCCCAGCCCTGCCTCTGCCCAGAACACCCTGGCTGGGCTATTGTGTGACTGAGAAATAAACTTTTAAAAAAATTTGTGTTAAGCGACCAAGGTTTTGAGGTTTGTGACAGGAGCGTACATTATTCTCACAGATAGAAGCTGGTAATGTTCTGCGAGGGAGGGCTGGCAAATCTTTTCTTCAGAGTGCCTGACAGCAAAGCCTTTTGTCTCTGTAAGTTTTGAGGTCACTGTCCAACTGCTCAACCCTACTGTTGCTGCTGCAGTGGGAAAGCAGTCAAAGAAAATATGTCAGCAAATGGGTGTGGCTGTGTTTTAATAAAACTGTGTCCACAGACAGGCAGCTGGACCACATGACTCAGTTTGCCAATCCCTGTTCTAACAGACAGACACAAGCCACCACCTCGTCTCAGATGCCATATATGAAGGAATTACTGCAAAGTGGGGTTGGATGGATTCTACTTACTAGCCATGGAACCTCTTGGGCGAGTGATTTGACCTCTTTGAGTCTGTTTCCTCACCTCTAACTTGGAGCTAAGAATGTCTACTCTAGGGTGGTTGCGAAGTTCAAATATTACTCCCACAGTAGGACAAGGTGAGTAGGTCCAGTTCTTTCTATCGGATGAGGAACTCCGTATTGTGCGCATGAGGACAGGGAGCGTGTCTGTCTCATTCATTTCTGAATTCACATAGTAGATGCTTCATAAATATTTGATCAATGGATGCAACTGCTAGAAAACTGCTGAAAGGAGTCTTAGAAGTAAACTCTAAGCCCTGGGGGGGGGGGGGGGTACGGGTAGAGAGGGAATACAAACAAACGAAAAGCCCGAAGTGTTGTTCCATTAGAGTCCTTTGAACTATGAAGTGCTCACAGTGCTCAGAAGTGAGAAAATCACCACCCGGGAGGCTCAAAGGCGCTCCCAGGGGCTCCAACCCCTGCAGCCACAGCGAGGCTTGTGGGACACCTGGACCATTGCTTCCTGGTGCTCTAACTCACACACAACACGTGTGAAGATAGAGGGGATGCCTGTGGCTCTTCGCTTCGCCCCCAAAGCCCCTAAATGTACAAAGAACCCAAGAGACCACTGCATGTATGATCCGAAGAGGTGAAAAACCTTTATTCTGGAGAGAGGGATGTCCTTCCCAGGCATTGGCTGGAGGGACAGGGTAACAGGACTGGCTTTTTGAAAAGGTTCGTGACAGTTCTTCTTTATGTGGCAGGGTCCTTTACTGCATTCCCAGTGTGATATTAAAATAGGATGTCCTGCTAGTCACCTGACCTATTCTGCAAATAGCTGACCTTTGAAGACCTCATCTGTTTCAGAGGCCACTCTCCACTCTTTTGCTTTTGCATTGCTATACTTATTTTTGTGCAAATTCTGGAAAGCAAAATCTCAGGGATAGTTATTGCTGGGGGAGGAAAATGCTTCATCATGATAAGATTATATGTTATACAATATACATCCTGTAAGTCCCTTTAAAACTCTGAAAAGTAATTTCTAGGCAAGAAGAGAGCACATTGTTCAGTCAGAATTGAATCTCAGAGTTGGAAGGGGCCCGTAGAGCTCACCCAGCTTCCTTTTACAGATGAGGAAACGGAGGCCCAGAGAATTAAGTAGATATTTTCAGTATTGCAGAGGGACTTAGTGACAGCATCAGGTTCTCCAGCTCCAAAACCAATGCTCTTTCTATTTTTCAAGGTAAACTTTTAAAAATAAAAGTATGACTTACATATGGGAAAGAATACATGTCCTAAGTTTATAACTCAAAGCAATTTTTACTACTCAGATAAAGAAATAATATGTAACCAGCACCCAGAAGTTAATTATCCAAATGTAACCAATATGATGGCTTTTATCACCATACGAAGGATTTGACTTTAGAAAAAACTATATAATTTGAGTTTTATAGTACATATATCTCTTTTGTATCTGGCTTCTTGTGTTGTCTTCTATCCCTCTCCACAACTTTTTATTTTGAAAACATTCAAAGTAACAGAAAGGGTGCAAGTATAATCGAATGAACACCCATACATCACTGGGGTGGATTCTACAAATAGCCACAGTTTTTCCTTCATTGTATCAAGGCCCTTTGCCACCTGACTTTGCAGCTTCTCCCACCACAATGTGGGGCATCCTCAAGCAGTCTTGCATTCTCTCTCTCTCTCTCTCTCTCTCTCTCTCTCTCTCTCTCTCTCTCTCAACTTTGCCACTTTCATATGAATAAGCCAGGGCTACCCTGCTGGAGGAAAAGAGACAGGGTCCCAGTCAACTGCAGCCAAGAACCAGCCTATGTCTAGAAGCAGATCCAGCCAGCTGGCCTGCTGCTGAAGGAAACCCAGCGGGGATCTCACAGAAACCACCCATCCGGCGAGCTCAGCCTGAATAGCTACATAAATAGTTGCTGTTGTGTGGGGTTTGTCATACAGTAAAAACTGATCATTCTACCTTTCACCCCAACTACTTCAGCATATTTCTTCTAAGAATAAACAGCTTCTCCTACATCATCACAATATAATTAGTTATCATGCTCAGGACATTTGACATTGATACAATAATATCTAATTTACAATGCATACTCAAAATGTTCTAATCATCCCTACAATATCATTTACAACTGTTTGGTTTTCTATCCAGGATTCAGGTGAGAATTACTTATTGTATTTTAAAAATTGAGATATAATTCACTTATTGGATTAGTTTTAGGTATATTAGGTATATTAGGTTTAGGTAAATGATTCAACATTTATTTATTTATTTTTAAAATATATTCCTATTGATTTCAGAGAGGAAGGGAGAGGGAGAGAGAGAGATAGAAACATCAAGAATGAGAGAGAATCATTGGTCGGCTGCCTCCTGCACGCCCTCCACTGGGGACCGAGCCCACAACCCAGGCATGTGGCCTTGACCAGAATCGAACCCAGGACCCCTCGATCCACAAGCTGACATTCTCTATCCACTGAGCCAAGCCAACATTTTCATATATTGCAAAATGATCACCATAATAAGTCTAGTTAGCACCCATCACCATAAAATAGTTATATAATACAACCTCCTTTTAGGGAAGGTTGTATTACATAGTCACCATGCTGTATATTATGTCCCCACAATTTATTTATCTTTTAACTGGAAGTTTGTACCTTTTGACCGCTTTACTTATTGCACTTAATTGTCATTGTCATGTTTCTTTATGTCTGTCTTGAACAGTCCCTATCTTCTCCCCACATTTTATTTTTGGTGTCTGGTGTCATTAACATTTTTTTTTTTAAAGTCTAGGCCAGTTGATGTTGCAGAATGCCATCAGTTTATACTTGCATGATTGCTTTCCCAGGATTAATGTTGGGCAGGATACTACCTGGATAATGTTGTGTTCTCAATGCATCACTTCTCAATGCCACTTTGCCCAGTTGTCGGGAACTCTCTTTTAAGGTGCAGTCTTGAGTCACTTTTATGAGGTTAAGTGGGAAGAGTTCTTAATGGAAAATGTGTTGGTATGTTATATTTTTCTTTTGTGGAAAGAAAGGAAACATGACTTCACCTAATTTTCAGGAATCTACTCTACTTTATTCTAAGTTGTCAATCTTGTCCCGTCCCCTCTGGACAGTGGGCTATGACTGTATTAGAGGGTGACTTTCATCTATGAATCAGTTATCTTTTTATTTGCTCTCATAGAAAGTCATTATTAATTCATTCTTAATGATTCTTTTTGTTGTTGTTGTTAGAAAGCTGGGCTCGGTGTAAAAAGGAGAAACAAATTTATTGTTAATCACAATTTTCTTCAATGATTTAAACATATTAAAACATTAGCTTTATGATGCATTTTTAATGCAAATAATCTAAATATATGTAGGAACATTTAAAAAGCTCAGTCAAATGAAGAAAAAACTCCAACAGATTAGAAATATTAACTCTTTTCTCACAACTAAAGCGCAGTTAAAATAATCTTTTCAATAGCTCCAGGTGAGGTTGTGTCTGAAAGAAAGCGAAAACTGGTAAACTTGCATACAGAAGTGAACTTAATGACAGCAGTTCCTCAGCAGAAAAACATGAACTGACAACTTAGAGTGCAGCGCCAGAGATGTCTCCACTCAAAAGAGTTTTGTGACTGACTGGTTCTCACATCTTTACTAATAAACACAAGATCTCGTCACCAATGCTTGTGGCAGGATTTCACAATGATTGGGGGTGGAGTACCTCATTTGTGAGCCAGATGTGTCTAAACTTAAATCTGAAGATTCTCACTTGGTAAACTCTAAACAGGATGATGAAAGTTACATGAGAAATGGCCTTGTGAAGGAATAAGCATGAAAGAACTGTTTACATATCCTTGGAGCTCAAATTTGGGTGGTTGTTATTTTACAAAGGGCAGGATTTTCCTTTATTTCCTGGTGTCTAACTTAGTTCTGAAATCATAGTTCAATTTTATGCATAAGCAGCAAACAAAAAGCAGTGTTTTGGAATAAAGATTTTATTGATTGAGAATATGAATGCCAAAAATACTGTACTTCAATGGGATGTTTTGGTTACTCACAAAGATTGAAGGATGAACTTTTCTTATACTTTGTTTGCTGTTGTATATGATTAAATAACATGTGATAGTAATATGAAGCACAATGGTATTGAAAAATATTTTTATATATGTATTAGTCAGGGAAAGTAATTTTGGCTGCCATAACAAATGGTCCCAGAAAGTTCAATGGCTTAACACAATAAAACTGTATTTCTTGAGAAAATTTGAATATTTTGGTCTTCAAAGGGAAGTCTTCCTTTGATTAAGGGGCGTGGAATTCTTTTATTTATTGCCTATGCATTTTCTAGAACTTTCTTCCAGCAGACAAGGGAAGGGAGAAGAGTATATGGAGGCTTGCTCAGGAAGCTGTAAGGCCAGACCACATGCTATGAACTGGAGCTCAGTCACAAGGCTCCAGCCAACTGTAGGAATGATTGGAAAATATAGAATTCTTGTGTGCTTAGGAGGAAACTAAAATGGGTATGCTAAATGATCAATTCTTTTTGCACATTGAATCACCTCTGCCAAAACATCACTCATTTTCATCAATATGTGAACAAAAGTATATAATGTCATGAGTGGACCAGAGCATGGGCCAACACATTTTTTCTATCAGGGCTGGAGAGTAATCTTCAGGTTTGTAGGACAAGAAGAAGCATTAATGACATCATGTATATAATAAGCATTTACAGTATAAGTGTATTTTAGCTCAGAGTCCATACAAGAAGAGATGGTGTGCTAGGTGTGGCCTAGGGCCATAGTTTGCTGACCCCTAGACCAGAGAAACTCTAAATTTTAGAATTTAGAGTCTAAAAGGAAATAGTTGGCATTGAAGGATTTTCTGTTTCTCAGATTCTTTCCTAAGTGGATTTTGACTTTGGTTGAGATTCTTCAAATGACCATTTGTATCAAATTATATGAGAATATAAACTTAATTGAGGTTACGAAGATTATGCGAATAAAACACCAGTTACATTCTTAGAACATAGCATGTAAAATAACATTTATTATAGGCTAAACAGTAATTGGGAAGTTTTCTATATATATAAAAGCCCAGTGACCTGAACGGCAGAACGACCAGAAAGACTGGAATGACACGTGGCTATGACGCGCACTGCAACAGCCAACCAGCCTGATCTGGGCTCCAATTGCCCCCTGTCCCCCCCTGCCCCGGCCGGCTTGGCCCCCAACACCCCAATCAGGGGTGGGGCCGGGTGGCCAACCGCCCACAGCCTCTCCCTCCTGCCAGCCCAGCCCTATGAGCCCCCATTGGGGTGGGCAGGCTGGACCCTACCTGTGTATGAATTCGTACACTGGGCCTCTAGTATTTTATAATAGTAAAGCTATATCCTATATAATAAAAGGGTAATGTGCAAATTGACCCTAACGGCAGAACACCTGGGAATGACTAGTCATTATGATGCGCACTGACCACCAGGAGGCAGATGCTCAATGCAGGAGCTGCCCCCTGGTGGTCAATGCACTCCCACAGGGGAAGCTCTGCTTAGCCACAAGCAGGGCTGACAACTGCAAGCACAGTGGCAGTGGTGGGAGCCTCTCCCCCCTCCTTGGCAGCACTAAGGATGTTTGACAGCTTAGGCCCCCAGGGAGTGGTCCTAAGTTGGCAGGTGGACATCCCCCAAGGGCTCCTGGGCTGCCAGAGGGATGCCTGGCTGCTAGGTTTGGCCCAATCACCCAGGGAATGGGCCTAAGCTGGCAGGTGGACATCCCTTGAGGGCTCCCAGACTGCAAGAGGATGCAGGCTGGGCTGAGGGACCCCCCTGAGTGCACAAATTTTTGTGCACCAGGCCTCTAGTGTCATTATAAAATGGTTCATTTCTACAACATAATCCTCAGATGCACCATGCTATTTTATTTCCAGGTCACTTTATTTGTAATGATTTATTTCAGTTATCTCAAACACTCAGATGTTGCCTTTCTCTTTGCTCTTCCTTGCTTCTCTCTTTTTTTATTAATCCACACCCGAGAATATTTTCCCATTGATTTTTAGAGAAAGTAGAAGAGAAGGGAAGAGGAGGAGAGGCAGAGAGAGAGAAACATTGATGTAAGATACACCAATTGGTTGCCTCCTGCATGTGCCCAATTGGGGCCAGGGATCAAGCTGCAAATGAGGTACATGCCCTTGACCTGGAATTGAACCTGGGGCCCGTCAGTCCTCAGGTCGATGCTCTATCCACTGATCCAAACCGGCTAGTGCTTCCTACTCTCTTTGTTTTAGAATGGTTACTTTTCCTTTATATTGTATAACTGGGTAATAATATTAAGCAGAAACTGGAGTTATGGAATGGTCCAGGCAGAGCCACATAGATGGGTGTCTGTTTGGCCTGACCATATCGGTTCTGACCCGTGGTATGGTGAGGGGTAAGATTTTGTATATCGTTTAGAATAAGAAAATATTACAACTAAAAGGAAGCATTGCAAAAATGTGGTTTATAATATAAGATTTCACTAATGAATAGAAGATACCTGTTGTGGCTTTTTATATTTTTTATCAAGCACTTTTGTGATTAACGTATTATGTTTTCACTTTTGAAAACATGGAAAATTATAAAAGAATGAAATTGCAATTATACACATATTTATCACCTAAAGATGATCACTGTTACCCTTTTGTATAATTCTTTTCAGTTTATATACTCACAAGCACACACCAAACACACACACACACAAATACATAGTTCACATGCCTACGTTTTTACATAGTTTGGGGACATAATAGAAACCATATTGTATATGGTGATTAAAAATCTTCTAAGAGAAAACTTTTAATGGTTGCAGCATATGAACTTGTATAAATATATCATAATGTACTTAGCCTAACCTCTATTTTTGAACACTTACATTGTACAAAGTTTCCTTAATTAAAATAACATTAACAGAGGTATACCCAACAAAATGAGCACTTATATCAACAAAAAGACATGTGTAAGAATATTCATAGCAGCTTTATTCTTAATAGTCCACAGCTGGACACAATCTGAATGTGTATCAATTTTAGAATAGATAAACACATTTTGATATATCTATACAATAGAATATTAATCATCAATAGGAAAGAACTAATGACTGGATGCTGCATGTAACAATATGGATGATTCTCGCAGACATAATGTTTACTATAAAGAGTAGATATAGCCCGGCTGGCATGGCTCAGTGGTTGAGCATCGACCTATGAACCAGGAGGTCATAGTTGGATTTCTGGTCAGGGAACATGCTTGGGTTATGAGCTTGATCCCCAGTGTGGGGTGTGCAGGAGGCAGCCAATCAATGATTCTCTCTCATCATTGATGTTTCTATCTTTCTCTCCCTCTCCCTTCCTCTCTGAAATCAATAAAAATATTTTTAAACAAAGTAGATACAAAAGAATACATTCTGTATCATTCCATTTAAAGTAATAAGCACAACTAATCTAAGGTGATGAAAGCTCTTGGGAGGGGAGTAGATTCGGATGGAGCCCAAGGAAACTTTCAGAGTACTAGAAGCGTTCTATATTTTGAACTGTGTTCTGGTCCATATATATGTAAGAACTAATTGAGCTGCACACTTCATGTAAGACTTATGTACTTTCTGTAAGTTGTACCTCAATAAACAAAAATGGGAATAAAAGTACTCTGTGATACATCTTTGAACATAGGTTTTGATTATATTTCTTATGAATTCCTTAGTACAATCCCATACGTCCTAAAAATGCTATATTGAATTAGGTAACATATTTTTTCTAAAAGTCTATGATCTATTTTTTCTGTCACAGATCTCTATTTCTGTTATCCCATAAGCTAAAGGAAAGAATTTATCAGATAATGCTAATGTGTTTAGATTTGTCAAAAGATAATAAGTCAATGGGGAGTCAGGACTAGAACTCTATTACTCTTCTTTGGATTTCTTATGTTTCAACAGTGTTGAATATATAAAATCTGAATTCAAAAGTGAATGTAATTAAAGACGTTGTTTACAAAAAGAGTTCACAATAGAGTTCTTTACCTTGTAAAATTTTCTAGTACAAATCAATTATGATACAATTAATAAACAATTGTTTTATGTATTCAAGGATGTTGCTAGTTTACAAAGTGAGACAATGTGCATCCCAGAGTACATTTCTGCTATGATAGTGTTGCTTAACAAAAACACCAAAATGTCAGTGGATTACAATAACAAAGATCTTTATTCATACTCATAAACCTGCAAATCAGCTGTGGTTTGATTGACCTTGGCTGGTCCAGGATGAATTATAGTCAGTTTCAAGTTTGTTTCCATGTCTGCGTTCAAAGACTGAAGCTAACAGAACAACAATGTGTGGAGAATGAAAACTCCAAAAGGCCTGCCCAACAACACAGGCACATTTGTTGTTCCGCCTATTTATGTATTCATTGGTTGCTTCTTCTATGTGCCCTGACTGGGGATCGAACCCTCAAACTTGGCCTCTACGGACCGTACAGGCACATTTAAAGCTTCAACTCATGTCACACCCATTTACATCCCATTGGCCAAAGCACCATAATTAAGCCCAACATCAGTGCATTAGGGACAGGGAAGACCAGGGTGAATACACTCCATCTATATTAGTAACTACTGCTGCATAACAAACAACCCTAAAACTCATTGTCATAAAACTATTTAAACTTATTATTTCTCACAAGTCTATGAGGTGGTTTGGGTGGCTTTACTCATCTAGGCTGTTCTTACTCATGCATCTGTGGTCAGGTGACAGGTGTTTGGCCTTAGCTCTTTTCCATCTGGTGTCTTCTTCTCCAGCAGGATAGCTTGAACTTGTACTCATAATGGTGGCAGGGTCCAAAAGAGAATGAGACCCATAAGGCTCTTGAGCCTATGCCTTGAACAGGTACAATATCACTTTTGCTGCATTCTGTTGTCTAAACTGTCATAAGGCTGGTCCAGACTCAAAATGTGAGCAA